ACCTCGATAATCAGTCAACCTCCACAGACACTTCCTGGTGAAACAGAAACTGAAATTCAGGAGGAACGACAACCAGGTCACTTTCATTGCAGTTTTCATAATCATTCCTGCCGACGATGACCTAGAGGAATCAAGGGTTCAGAGTTATTCATATCTATCAGGGGCACAGAGATAATGGTCCGGTAAAGACCAGCACATTCAGACGTCTAATATCACACAGTCTGATCTGATGGAGTGAGGGATGTCTTTGTGCAGGAGAAGTGGTGATAATGGGGGATTTGAATTTCCCTCACACTGACTGGGAAGAACTGATAGGAATGACTGCAACTGAAGGTGATATCATTGACATGGCTAAAGACTCTTACTCTCTCCATCTGTTAGAGCGACTCCGGGAGGGAAAGTCCACTTGATCTGGACTTGTCAAACTCTCAAGACAGAGGTGGTAGAGACATCAGGGAGCTGTGATCACAGCAGCCTCCAGGCAGCTGAAGGACAAATGTGCTGTTGGATAACATTGGTGAATTATTAAAAGGCCACTGACTCACTTATTCCATAAACCACTGAAGACACAGGTACAATCCAGAAACTGGAAAATGGTCAGACAGTGATCATGAATAAGAGGGGTGAGTAAACTGACCCATTTAGTTATAGAACAATATGTCAACTTCCATTAAAATCTATAACATGACTGTATTACAGTACAGTCAGTGTGTCTGTACTGTATTAAGCCCTCTCTCTCAGTGCAGTGTTAATGTACTGGAGTGTCCAGTCAGTGTGTCTGTACTGTATTAACCCCTCTCTCAGTGCAGTGTCAATGTGTTGGCGTGTCCAGTCAGTGTGTCTGTACTGTATTAACCCCTCTCTCTCAGTACAATATGGATCAGACAGTGCATTTTCTTTCTCTCTCAGGCAAACAAATTACGTACGAAGACTCTGCGTAACACTCTGAACCCAGTGTGGAATGAGACTCTGACCTATTACGGCATCACGGAGGCTGACATGGCACAGAAGACACTGCGGTAACATTGACCTGAAATGTTGGCTTCTTTCGCTAGGCCGAGATTAAACCCCCTGGCTGAGATGATGCTCGGAC